GCTCCTACCCTGGGGGTTTTTAAGAGGAGGTTAGATGAACACCTTGCTGGGGTCGTTTGACCCCAGTACTCTTTCCTGCCATGGCAGGGGGTCAGACTAGATGATCTGCTAAGGTCCCTTCTGACCCTAGAAACTATGAAACTATGGAATTTTATATTTGAATTAATCATACTTTTCCCTTTACAAGGCTATATAACTGTGCTGTGACAGAGCAGCAGTCATGCCCTGCCACAATTGGGCAGAAGACAGAGGAACAGCAGGAACAAGAATGTTTTACTTACATGGGGAAGGAGTCAATAAAGTGAGCGATGAGAAAAACTGGCTTTATTGATTCTCACCGGGGCTGGCAGGAAGAGCTGGCTGACAGGGAGATGACCAGATGGGCTCCAGCAGCTGACCTAGAAGTAGAAAAGCCCAGGGTCAGATGGGTTGTTTTACCAGAGATGGAGGCCGGCAGGAGCAGGAGCTTGTGTAGCTGCATAGAGGTGCAGCAACTACCTTACCCCAGCTGGGGGTCAATGGGTCTTGCAAAGGAGAATCAGACAGCTGCAAGACTTACCTGAGGTGAGATCTGGCATGAGAGCATCGCACAGGAGGCTAGCCACTAATCTGACAGGTGAGTGAGGCATTTCGTGTCTGTAACCTAAAAGGGAAAAAGAAGAGAAGGTCTGACTAAGGGTATCTGCTCTGAGGAAGCAGGGTTCTTCCCTGCCACAGAGGCAGAATATGGAGCTAAGCCAGGGGACAGAGTTAGACTTGCTTTGGTTCCCAGTAGGTACCCTGTGAATTAAGACAAAACAGGACTGAAATTTCGGTCCTTAATTGAACACTGGCTGGGAAAGATAATTACAAGTGCGTTCAGAGAAGGTATTCACCTGAGATCCCAAAGGCAAGTAAATCTAAGGATGGACTTAAAGGGGTAGCTGTAAGGATGTAAGCCCAAGAGCTGAGAACGGTTCATGATACAGGCATCATACAATTTGTACGAACGCATAAAGTTGCATTGGTGCACTGAGCACAGGCTGCAATTAAGGCATCATACCTTGGAATGTCTGGTGTGGTAAGGGCAGGGTGCGAAGATAGAGGAGCCCTATGAAGGGGCCAGATGGCCAGATCTGTTGCAGTGAGAAACAACAATTTATCTCCCAATATTTACTCTGTCCTTTCAGATTTTCTTTAACATCAAAGGTGTGGCAGATGAGTATCCAAGAGGATTAGCAAATCCTGGGCAGATTGACTGCAACACATCTTTCGACAAGAGCCTCAAATTTCTACTTGTGTGATATTTACAGTTGCCCACACATTCTTGCTTCCTTCCATATTGTTAGTTATCAAACTTGCTTGTTTTCCCTTATCTTTTAATTAGGCCTGGATTCAGCAAAAATGCTTAAGAATGTGAGGAATACTATGGAAGGCAATCACACTAATGTGATTAGGCTTAAAGTTTGATTGATTCTTAAGGATTTTGCTAAACTAAGATTTTAGATTATAGGATCTTCAAAGCAAAAATGTTCTCCTCCTACATATTTATGCAATATCAAGCATGATAGTGCCCTAGCTTCTGTAGATAGGCATCCAGTTGCTATTATAATATTAATAATATAAATCATAATTATAACTAAATGGATTTGGGGAAGGATCTAAGACTGTCTACCTCACTGCACTGTGTGGGTGTAGTGCTTTGCTCATTGAGCCTTTGGTTCTAATAGGGGTCTTTGGACAACTCTGTCCACCAATGGTAAAGGTAATAAGATTAGTAAGAATAGTAGTAGTAGTAGAAGAGGAAGAAGAAGAAGGACTTAGCACTGCGTAGTAATGAGTTTGTCAGCAAGGATAAAGATAGGGTGTGGGAAGAGAGCTGAGTTATTATAAAAGGCGGTTCTCCACAAAGGCTCCAGGAGCCTGAGCCAACTTGTAGTAATATCTCTCCTGTTGCTCCATGGAGGTATTAGCCACACAGGAATGTAAATCCTCTATGTCCACAGAAGCCATAAAGCCTGGAGGGCTAGTGAAGTAGTATGTTTATCTTCTAACACCTGCTGCACTTGTTCAACAAGGAAGGACTGAGCTGCCACAGGGCTGCTTTGCTACAGATTGGGGAGTGCCAAGGCACTGGGGAACAACAGCTGGATGAACTGGTTACTTTCCTTCCCTGGAGTTACCCAATCCTGTGAAGCCAAATTATGGTGCCCCTGCTACGGAGAGAAAGAGTTTGTCTTTTCATTCTTCTTTTTCATGCCCATAAATTGGTTCTTTTATTTTCTGGAGAGAAATCCTTTTTTATATGCATAACAATTGGCAATGCTTTCATTCTCGCAGCAGACTCCTTCAGAGAGAAACCTAGAGAGAAACCTTCAAATTTCCAAACATATTAGAGTTGGCTGTTCTGGGAAATGCAGATGTTGGCGCCTTGGTGACTGGGACACTTTCCAATAAATACATCACATAGATTATATTGTGTGATTTTTTTTTTCAATAAGTATATGGGTCAATGTTCCTCTGCATAAGGGGGAATGAAGGCAGACAATTTTAGAGGCATTAAAACATGGAATGTACTCTTAAATATTCCTTGGTAAATTCTTAAGACTTATAATGACTTTTCTTCCAATATTTAGACAGATGTTATACCCAATATTCCTTGCTCTCTGTATCCCAGACAATCCTGTGAATCTCTTCTCATTATATCTCTCACTACCTATATCCAGGAGTGAAGCTGTCCTTCGCGGTATTTCAGCTGTGTTTTTCAAGTTAAGATCCCAGGAAGAATCCAGAGGTTTTGACTTACTGCCACCCTTCTTGTTTGCCACTGTAGGTAGAGCATGAACACTGCATGGCAAAAAACAAACAAACCATCATTTGATTGCCTTTGGCACCCTGTCCAAACATTACAGGGTCACTGGGCAGACCTATTACTGCTACTCATTAGACACTCTGGTGTTATCATCTTGTGTGCCTGTTTCTCCATCCCCATTCTAAATTTAAATGAATGTTTGAGGAATTTGGACTAATTTAATGCTCAAAATTTGGGTATTTTCTAAGAGTTGGTGGGTGTTTTTTTCTGGCTGAATGAATCAGTCTAAAACAGGTAGTTAGCCATGTTGGTCTGAAGTTAAGCAGAAAACAGTGTAGATATACACCTTATAAAGTACCCAAATCAGAGCCATATAGAATAGGCTTTGGTGAACCATCATCATCTGTGGTTTATGATGTTTATCTCTTATTTAGTTATTCTACAAGGTCCACATCTACCTTAACTTTTTCTTGATTCAACTGTGGCATTTTCCTTCTGTCCACATTTTATCTTACTTTTGCCTAACTTAAATTAATCTACACTTTTTTTTCCCCCTTAGACCACATGAGCTCAGGTGACTTCCATGAACTGAGCAGTTTGCAATCCTCTTCCAGTCCTGTCCTTTGAAACTGCTGTGGTGGGTGTGGGTTCTGGTGGGATAATGCGCTGCAAACAATTTACCTTAGGTAAATCTCTCGGAATCCCCTATGTCTGTTAAATGGGAGGAGAAGAGATGATTGAATGTCCATCCTTTTTATTATTAATTGCTGTGAAGTGAAAAAATTTCATGCTACAGTACTTACTTGTAAATGCTAACGCTCCGTGGCAATGTAATGTAAAATAGTGTAAAATACTGCTTACCTTTTCTTCTGATTGTTTGAGAATGTTAAGCTTATATTTCCTCCAGTTCTTTTTAAAGCACTCCAGTAACTAAATTACTGACTTTGAAATCTAGGACTGGACCTTCAATTTAGCTGTAGAGTGTAATGCTGGAAGCTTAAGTGTTTAGTGTAATGGTAGTAAATTAAATATCCACAAAAGAGTTGTACATCTTAGATATAGTGAATGTCTGCATCTGATGGAGACAGAAACGATCTTTATAGAAAGGTAGGTTATCCAAATAAAAGGTTTCAATGACAACCATAAGTAATAATTAGATGGAGGAGGGAGAAGAAAAATGGTTTCCTTTTGTTACACCATTTTTATTTATGTTACATTAAGTTTGAATTGGAACCTAATTTGGGCAAATAATTTGTCTCATTAAGTAGGAGAAGAGACCCTAAAACAGCTCTTTGGCTTGCTAGAGGTTTTTATTTAACTGAAAAGCTCTATTGAATGATCTGAGTTTACACTATTAAGCAGAGAAGGCATTTCAGAGCTGCTTTATTACAAACAGACAACCCTGAAGATTCAGAAGACAGAGGAAACTTGCCTTGATCCTCCTTGCATCCAACTTTGGCAAATGTCATGCAAGATGAGTTAACTGTTGATTTTGTATATACAATCACCAACATATTAATTACAGGTTTCTATATGAGCCAGATATTTTGAAGAAATTAAGGCAGAATTCATGGCAAGATAAAAAGACAAATCCCCCTTACCTGGATTACATGCACCCTAGACCTCCCATATTCTGATATGTGAAGTCCAAAGAAAGGTGGGTGCATGAGATACATGTCACTCACTGCTTTTCACACACAGTTGCTGCATCCGTTCCTTGCTGTGTGGTAGTTTTCAAATGTACTATGCAAAAAGTCACTTGCCAAAGGGAAAATGCCAAGAAATAAAATATTTCTGTCTTCTTGAGCAATCCCAAGAATGAGACTTAGGCTGTGATCCTTCAATGAACTTTGTGTGGGTAGCAAATAAGTGTGGTCTTGGTGACCACAGAAGTTGTGTTTCATCTACTGGTCTTACTTTTATGTCACTTCATTTCTCCATTCTTTTTCTTGCTTGTCTAGTACCCTGAGTTTTTTGACAATGACCCATGTGGACATCAGCTCTTTTTCTCTATTTCCCAATTCCACATTTCCATCTGTCCCTTTTACCCCCACATCCTATTTTAACTTTTCTAGTCTTCAATATCAATGTTATGTCCAATATTTTATCATTACTTTTATATTATTCATTTAGTGGCATTCCAGTTGAGGTCCATGCCAGATGTGAAGGATTTCACTGCACACTTCATAATCACTGAGGATATGAATGAGAGTTAGAGTATGTAATTTGTGCATTAATTGTGCATTTTAAAGACATAAGTAGTATAGTAGCCATGTATGATTTATTCAAAAGGTAATTAATAAAAAACAAGTAACATCTTTATCTTTATTTCCATCTGAGATTATTTCGGCCTATCTGTATGATAAAATACATTAACACAAAAACAGAATGACTGCATTGCAAGTATAATAATATCTTATTTGATAACAGGCTTACTGGAGGCTTACTGGCACTTCGACAATCTTCTGCCATGGTTACTACTCCCTGCTGATAGAACTGCTGTTGCCACAAATTGGCCTTGACAAAAACAAGTTCATCTATTATTCTTGGTTTCAAACTTGACCTTGGTGGGTTTATTATAGTATCCACTGTACTAAGCACAAAATATGTAACACAAAGGTCAAATATTTAAAAAAGTCTCATCTCCTAAACTTCTGCTATCTTCTAAGTCGCTTATTTTCTTTTTTGTATGGTTATTCTAAAATGGCTTGTGGTGTGGCTAAAATCCAGATTCAACAATATTTCAGGAAAGCACATGAAATAAAATCCATCTTTGTCCATTCAAAATACTTACACAATCTTAGAATTTCTTCCCTTTCCAATCTGTGGCTGAAACAGCCTTGTACCTATCTATTGGGGGCTGGCTAATAGTGTGGGCTCACTGGTATTGCTTTTCAAGGCAAGAGTCAAATGGGAATGGGAAAGGCAGGGTAAAAAGGTAAGAGCTAAGAACTGGCCATACACTAAGCTGTACCAAAATGAGATACCTTCCACTATAGACTGAACAGGCATTCAATACAAGACTGTGCATGTTCCCTCAGCTCCACTGGGTTACTTGACTGCAACCTGCCCTTCCTGAGACTTTGATATACCTATGGATTACTCTTCTGTCCTGGGAGTGGAGGGTTAGGGGAAACAACTGCTAGTATTGGAGCACATCAAATTGTGCAGAATAAAGAATGAACTAGTTAACACTGGTATCAATCAGTCATCACTAGGCATCTGAATTAACACATCACTGAAATGAATGGAGTAGTTTGCACCTTGCTGTTGTACCAGTGCTCTGAGAACTCACCAGACATCTCTTTATGGGTTCCACTCAGAATTGTTCAGAATTTCTTCATCACTGTAGCAGCAAGGCCTATTGTAGAACAGGAGACACTGCTTCTTCCTCCTTTAAAAAAATAGAAGACAGCACTTCATTGGAGTGGAACTGGGGATGGGAGGGAAATGAAATAAACCCCTTCTGTTAGCTCCCACTCAGGTACAATTTGATAGAAGCTTAGGAGCTTAGGAGGAGCCCCATCTGTCTTGGAGAGGACCTGAAGGCACTAAGCCTGAAAAATGGCTCAGAGACCTGCACCAAGGGCTATTTGGTTCTGCTGTGCCTAATTGCTAGTTTCTAGGGTGCCCAAGTGGGACTGAATGTACAGCTCTTATTTTTTCAGTGACAGACTTGGGATCCAGAGGAAAGCTATGTAGAAGTGTCTTTGGAGACCTAGGTCTACCTCCATCAAAATGGGTATTGCCATTCCTAACTTTAAGTGCCTGGCTGCTGGAGCAGAATCTAAAACACAGAGTTCGGTGCCTGTGCAATGCATGGGGAGAGTCAGGTGCCTCAGAAGAGGATCCATAATGTCGCTATGTTGAGTGGGAATCTGCCTAGACCTAGAATATGGCAAACACTAAGGATAGGAGTGACAGTCTAGGTAAGAGAGTCATGTTCCCTCTTCTGCTCAAGTGAAAAATATGTTTTCTTTTCTGTACAGCAAATCATCTTCAATTGGAGTGCTGCAGAGTATCCCCTGACATCTAACTCCAGTGCACCTCATAGCCTGGAGGCTTAGACATCCTCCAAGCAGAAGAAAATGAACTCAAGTTTTTCTTCATCCTGCCAGATGCTCCAACACCTAGAATTTTGTACAACAGGAGACATCACTTCTGCTTCCTCCAGCATCTTAAAAGAGTAGAATCAACCACTGCATTTTGTGGAGGGCTAAATGAGTAAGCATGATCTATGAACTTATATCAGACTAAGAGATCTAGGAATCCCTAATTCTGGGTCCTAATTTAGTTTAGGAATGAGCTAAGCACTGAGCTGCAGTGTCAAGGTAGAGAACACTCAGGGCATCTGGAGAAGCATAGATTTAGACATCTGGGAACTTTAAGCTCAGAAACTGAGGTACCTACAAAGTTTAGGCTCCTGAAGTTTAAGGCAGCAGTTGAGTAAGGATTTTCAGTATTGCAGTATCAGTCTTAGGTGACTCATTTCTAACCAAAGCACAATTTAAAGCACCAAAGTCCTTTTCTGGATGTGACCCTCTTGTCTATATTCTTTTCGATGAAAGTTGAAATTTTGGAGAACAAAACAATTTCTGAGATGCTGGTATGCTATGCCCACTGGCTCAATCCAAGCGCCACTCCCATGGTTTCACTTTTGGGTCTGTCTGGGATCTTGTCTTCCACATCATCAAGGACTAGTGCAGGAAAGCAATGAGGAAGTGATCATGGAGGAGACTTCAGTGTCATATCTTCAACCTCTTAAAGTCATCAGGGGAGAAGCCAGGAGAATGAAGAGGTAGAAAGCACCAGCAAGAATACCAAATAGGATAGTGTTTATTAAGGATCTTGTAATGGGAAGGTGAGGGAAGTAGAGTGAAGTTTACAGCCGAAGACAGGAAGAAATTGGGGTTCACAGGGAGGGAATTGATGGGTATTCATATGAAGACATAGGAACCTGACCAACCTGGTTGCCTTGTATGAGGAGGTGACTGGCTCTGTGGATGTGGTGAGACTGGTGGATGTGGTGTACCTTGATTTTAGCAAGGCTTTTTATATGGTTGCCCACAACATTCTCTCAGGCAAGTCAAGGAAATATGGGCTGGATGAATGGACTGTAAGGTGAATAGAAAAGTGGCTGCAGCATTGGGCTCAGAGAGTAGTAAACAACGGCTCCATGTCTAGTTGGCAGCCGGTATCAAGTGGAGTGCCCCAGGGGTCAATCCTGGGACTGGTTTTGTTCAATGTCTTCATCAACAACCTGGAATATGGCTTAAAGTGCACCCTCAGCTAGTTTGCAGATGACACCAAGCTAGGGGGTATAGTAGATACATTGTGGGGTTGGGCTAAGATTCAGAATGATCTATACAAATTGGAGGATTGAGCCAAAAGGAATCTTATGAGGTTCAACAAGAACAAATGCAAAGTATTCCCCTTAGGATGGAACAATCCCATGCACCAGTACAGGCGGGGGGCTGACTGGCTGGGCAGCAGCTCTGGAATAAAGGACCTGGGGGTTACAGTGGACAGTAAACTAAATATGAGCCAATAATCTGTCCTTGTTGCCAAGAAGGCTAATGGCATACTGGGCTGCATTGTTATGTGTATTGCCAGTAGGTCAAGGGAAGTAATTATTTATTCAGCACTGGTGAGGCCACATCCTCACCAGTGCTGTGTTCAGTTTCGGGCCCCCCACTACAGAAAGGATGTGGACAAATTGGAGAGAGTCCAGCAGAGGGCAACAAAATTGGTGACGGGACTGGGGCACATGACCTATGAGAACAGACTGAGAGAACTGGGGTTATTTAGTCTAGAAAAGAGAAGACTGAGATGGAATTTAATAGCAGCCTTCAACTACCTGAAGAGGGATTTAGAAAAAGGATGGAGCTAGACTATTCTCAGTGGTGGCAGATGACAGAACAAGGAGCAATCATCCCAAGTTGCAGCAAGGGAAGTTTAGGTTAAATATTAGGAAGAATTTTCTCACAAGAAAGGTAGTAAAACACTGGAATAGGTTACCCAGAGAGGTGGTGGAAGCTTCATCCTTGGAGGTTTTTTAGACCCAGCTAAACAAAGCTTTGGCTGGAATGGTCTAGTTGGGGATGGTTCTGCTTTGAGCAGAGGGTTGGACTAGATGACCTCCTGATGTCCTTTCCAACCCTAATTTGCTATGATTCTATAAAGGAAAAATTGTGGGTGTAGCTGGGAAGATATGGGAGGGATTGTTGCATAGGGATTGAGAGGGCCTAGAGATATCAATGGAGATATAACATCATTAGTTGAAGGGATTGAAGTTTCCAGGGAAGATGGGAGAAAAACAGCATCCTGAGAGAGAGGAAGGAAACTAGAAATTGCAAAGGAAGGCACCCCTTCTGCACTCTCCAGGATATGGAAAGCAAAGTCTGTTCTCTTCTGCTATGCACTTTGCCTAAACTCTGAGAAGCATTCTGGAGGAAGCACCAACAACATAAGCTGTATTCTACCTAAGTGCCTCAGGTTTGGGGCAAACTTCCTATAGTTTTAATTAGTTCTAGTTTATCAGTTTTCAGGGAATACTGCCAGGTGCATCTATTTTCAGGGTCTGCAGATGGCAGTAGGCTGCAAAGAAGTGGAGGGCTGAGTTGATTGTCTTTAGAGTTGTGAGGGCTGGAGAACAGCTGTCCACCATTTAATTTAATTTTTGTTTGTACAATAAATGGCTAGGTGCCTAGAACCCCTGGAGTGACTTGGTTGTTGTCTATTCCAATGCAAGTTAAAAAAATCCCATAATTTAGTGTGATATTTAGTGTTGCTAAATGAACAGGAAGCAAGAATAGAGGTCCTTGGCAAAGCTTTTTGAGCTGAGGCTGAAGTCAGTGGGGTTAGTGCAGGGGTGGGCAATTATTTTGGGTGGAGGGCCGCTTACTGAGTGTTGGCAAGCCATCAAGAACTGCATGACAGGCAGCCAGGGGCAGATAAATATAAATTTTCTAAATTTTTTTAGTGGCCCCACAGGCCGGACAGAATGGCCTGGAAGGCTGCATCTAGCCCACAGGCCGCATTTTGCCCACCCCTGGGTTTGTGTGTAACTAAAGGCTACACTGAGCCTAGTGTCTGTAGCTGACAGTCCCTTGCATCACTGTGGTGTGCCATGAACCTAAGCTG